ACAGAGGTTATGTGATCACGTTAAAAAAAAAAAAAAAAAGTTATTTATATATATATTTTTTTAAACAATAACCAAGTGGTCACACCTTCATTATGAATGCCAGCATCCTTAAATCTTTAAATACAGTACTATGCGGTGTTTAGATGGGACGTTTTAGGTATTCTGCTTGGACACATAGGAGAACATGCCTGGGGGTTTACTAGCTGTAGAAAAAAAGTCAAAAGCCAAAAACAGCAACTGCAAAAACGTCAAGTGTGCATGAGGGCTAAAAGTCACCCAGCAAACCCCCCAGGGAAACTCCAAGGAGTGCCTCCCTCAGAAGGACCCAATGCCCCACTTCTTCTATACGTGTATTGCTTAAAGTAGCATAATATTTTCTTGAAATTATGATCAACCCACACTTCAGATAATGGCCCAATCCCAAAGAATCCGATGAGTGGTTAAAAAAATCAGCAGGGAAGAAATTACTCTGAGCACCATCCAGCCCGAAGTCCAAAATAGAAAAGCCTTTACATTTTGGACTTCTGGTGTATTTATAATGTTCTTTTTAATGTATACACTTTTCATTTCTATTTAAAAGCAGTTCTAAAGTCAGAAGGTTTTTTACCTTCTGCCTTTAGGGTTAAATAATTTCAGGTGACAAGTGAGACCAATCAGAGAGGTACAAATGCATGTTGCAGTTGTGCTTTGATCTTAAAGTCCACCAGGTTTACCCTGACATGAACCTACTTTATCCCCATGCAGTGCATTGTAACAGATTTCCCCTCCCCAGGTGCATATACTTACAATTTCTTCTTTCTTCTACTGCTCCTTGCAGTCACTCCAGCTAGTGATTCCACATGGCCAAGGCCAGGGGCGGACTGACCATTTGGAAACTCGGGCACTGCCCGAGGGCCTGGGGTCAGTAGGGGGCCCCATGAGATGCCCCTGGTACCTTTTTCATAGGCTTTTTTGAGTTTGGGCAAGGACACAGGGGCCCCATGATCCCCTAGTGCCCGGGGCCCCATGAGTTGTCAGTCCGCCCCTGGTCAAGGCCTGAGATCTATGTTTGTACAGTCATGGCCAAAAATATTGGCACCCCTGCATTTCTGTCAGATAATGTACCACTTTGCCCAGAACATTTTTGCAATTACAAATGTTTAGGCATATTCATGTTTATGTATTTTGTTTGTATTCCTATGACACAAAAAAGTTAAGAAACAAAAAGCCAAATCTGACAAATTCCATCCAAAAGCCCAAAAATGGACTGGACAAAGTTATTGACACCGTCTCAAAATTGAAATTAAAAGAAATAATTGCATTCCGAGTTTGTGATGCTCCTGTAATTTGTAATTAAACTCACCCGTATCAATTAACATTTCTTAATGCTCCTGTGTCCACTGTGCGCAACATTGTCAAGAAGTTTACAGCCCATGGCACTGTAGCTAATCTCACTGGACGTGGACGAAAGAGAAAAATTGATCAATGATTGCACCGATGGATTGTTTGAATGGTGGATAAAGAACCTCGATCAACTTCCAGACAAATTCAAGCTGACCTTCAGGCACAGGGTACAACTGTGACAGCTTGCAATATACGTTGCCATCTGAATGAAAAGGGACACTATGGTAGGAGACCCAGGAGGACCCCACTGCTGACACAGAAACATAGAAAAGCCAGATTGGAGTTGGCCAAAACGTACCTGAGGAAGCCAAAATCTTTTTGGGAGAATGTGCTGTGGACAGACAGAACAAAATTACAGCTGTTTGTTAAAGTCCATCATTCTACTGTTTTCAGAAAAACCAATGAGGCCTTTAAAGAAAATAATACAGTCCCTACAGTCCAACATGGTGGAGGTTCACAGATGTTGTGGGGTTACTTTGCTGCTTCAGGCACTGGATGTCTTGATCGTGTGCATGGCGTTATGAAATCTGAAGACTACCAAAGAATTCTGGAGAGCAATGTAAGGCCCAGTGTCAGGAAGTTGGGTCTCCATCAGAGGTCATGGGTAGCAGGACAATGACCCAAAGCACATGTCAAAATGCACCCAGAAATGCTTTCAGACAAAGCGCTGGAGAGTACTGAACTGGCCAGCAATGAGTCCAGATTTCAATCCCATAGAGCACCTGTGGAGAGATCTCAAAACAGCAGTTGGGAAAAGGAACCCTTCCAATCTGAGAGACCTGGAGTAGTTGGCGAAAGAAGAGTGGTCCAAAATTCCAGTCGAGAGGTATTAGAAACTCATTGATGGTTACAGGAAGCTATTAGATTTCATATTTTTTTTCCCAAGGGGTGTGAAGTTAAATTGAGGGTGCCAATAATTGTGTCCAGTCTATTTTTTGCGTTTTGTGTGAAATTTGTCAGATTTGGCTTTTTGTTTCTCCACTTTTTTGTGTCACACCAATACAAACAAAAGAACTAAACATGAGAATGCCTAAACATTTGTAATTGCAACAATTTTCTGGGTGAAGTGGTGCATTATCTGACAGAAATGCGCGGGTGACTGTATGTGACAGTTCAGAACCAAGCAGCAACACTGTTACTTGGAGTGAATCTCATGTAAGCCCCTTTGCAATTATTCTGTATGGATGTTAGTATAATGGATACTCCGTCCAGCTTTGTTCTGGCCAAATCAGCGAGAAGCTACAAACATCTTATCTGAGGTCTATGTTTACATAATTATATAATGAAGGAGAGACTTTTGTATGGGACCTGTTTATTTGTAATTGTAGTTATCCTTTAAACTTTGCTGAAGGTTTTCATCAACTACTCTGTGAGAACAAATATAAAATCTAAATTTAGAAAAGGATATATTATAATGTCCTTGATAGAATTAAAGGTCTCATTTTGAAGTGGTCACCATGCATAATTGACTCTCTCATGTCTTCCTCCCATTGATTGTTAGAGCATCCACTGATGTTATTTGTCTCATCAAAGTTTAATGACTGTATTGTCCTGGGAGAAGAGTAATGTGCATATCTTGGCAGAGATCCCTGTAAAGTCTTTCTCCTTTGTTTTCAATCCCAGTGGTTCAGAAACATGGTTAATACTTTTAAATGAGCCTCCATTTGTACGGGAATAAGGGATCAGTTTTTGTAAAACATACAGGTGAAACTCGAAAAATTAAAATATCACGCAAAGGTTAATTTATTTCAGTAATGCAACTTAAAAGGTATAACTAATATATGAGATAGACTCATTACATGCAAAGCAAGATAGTTCAAGCTGTGATTTGTCATAATTGTGATGATTATGGCTTACAGCTCATGAAAACCCCAAATCCACAATCTCAGAAAATTAGAATTTTTACATGCAATCAATAAAACAAGGATTGTACATAGAACAATATCGGACCTCTGAAAAGTATAAGCATGTATATGTACTCAGTACTTGGTTTGGGCCCCTCTTGCAGCAATTTCTGCCTCAATGCGGCATGGCATGGAAGCCATCAGCCTGTGGCACTGCTGAGGTGTTATGGAAGACCAGGATGCTTCAATAGCGGCCTTCAGCTCTTCTGCATTGTTCGGTCTCGTGTCTCTCATCTTTCTCTTGGCAATGCCTCATAGATTCTCTATGGGGTTCAGGTCAGGTGAGTTTGCTGGCCAATCAAGCACAGTAATCCCACGGTCATTGAACCAAGTTTTGGTGCTTTTGGCAATGTGGGCAGGTGCCAAGTCCTGCTGGAAAATGAAGTCAGCATCTCCATAAAGCTCGTCTGTGGAAGGAAGCATGAAGTGCTCCAAAATCTCCTGGTAGATGGCTGCGTTGACCCTGGACTTAATGAAGCACAGTGGACCAACACCAGCAGATGACATGGCTCCCCAAATCAACACAGACTGGAAACTTCACACTGGACTTCAAGCATCTTGCAGTGTGTGTGCCTCTCCATTCTTCCTCCATACTCTGAGTCCTTGGTTTCCAAATGAAATGAAAAAGTTGCTCTCATTAGAAAAGAGGACTTTGGACCACTGAGCAACAGACCAGGTCTGTTTTTCTTTAGCCCAGGTAAGACGCTTCTGACGTTGTTTGTTGTTCAGGAGCGTCTTGACAAGAGGAATACGACATTTGAAGGCCATGTCCAGGATCCATCTGTGTATGGTGGTTCTTGATGCACTGACTCCAGCATCAGTCCACTCCTTGTGAAAGTCCCCAACACTTTTGAATGGCCTTTTCCTGACAATCCTCTCTAGGCTGCAGTCATCCCTGCTGCTTGTGCACCTTTTTCTTCCACACTTTTCCGTTCCACATAACTTTCTATTAATGTGCTTTGATACAGCACTTTGGGAACATACAACTTCTTTTGCAATTACCTTTTGAGGCTTTCCCTCTTTATGGAGGGTGTTAATGATGGTTTTCTGCATAACTGTCAGGTTAGCAGTCGTTCCCATGATTGTGATTCCTACTGAACCAGACTGAGAGACCATTTAAAGGCTCAGGAACCCTTTGCAGGTGTTATGGCTTAATTAGCTGATTAGAGTGGGACACTTTGAGCCGAGAATATTGCACCTTTTCACAATATTCTAATTTTCTGAGATTGTGGATTTGGGGTTTTCATGAGCTGTAAGCCATAATCATCACAATTATGAGAAATCACGGCTTGAACTATCTTGCTTTGCATGTAGTGAGTCTCATATATTAGTTTCACCTTTTAAGTTGCATTACTGAAATTAACTTTTGCACGATATTCTAATTTTTCAAGTTTCACCTGTATGTAACATACATTAGAACAGCAGAATAATAATTTTTTTCTGGCCATTAGAATGTATATTATCGAGCAAACATGCCTAAACATGTTTTAGCGTTAATGTGCGTTTCTGAGTGTTTATTCACATTTGCGCATTTTTCTGCCCAAATGCTCCTCTCCTGAATGCGCTGGAGAAAGTTTTTTCTTCAGCCTGTAAACAGCCCTCTTCCAAAATGCCTGTAAACGTCTAAGCATTGATATACTAACACTGGAGAGTGCAAAATATGGCGCAGCTTTGCATAGAAACCAATTAGCTTCCATGTTTTATTGTGAAAGCTTAACCTCTTCCCGTCCGGCCCATGTACATAAATGGCCGGATGGGAGCAGTGCAGGAGCTGGTTGCCTTTCATAAACGGCGCCCGCATTTACAGCCTGTGTGCGCTCCCTGGGAGCGCGCAGCACCACGATTCGGTGCCCCGATCGCTGTACGGGACCTCTGTGTGAGGTCCAAATCATGTGACCACTGATTGGCCAATCTGTGATCACATGAATAGCAGTAAGCAAGATGTCACTTACTGACATCATTGCTTACTACTAGTGAAATCTGTGAATGATCACAGAGGTCACATGGTACAAGGCTATTCACAACAGCCTTGTACCATGTGACAATCTGTGACCAATCACAGCTCTCACAGTATTTCTCAATGGCTGTAAGAATTCAGTCAAAGAGAAGGAGAAATTATTGCTTTTATAGCCTTTATGGGTGTAAAAAGTAATCAGTGTCAAAAAAACAAAATCTTCATCACCCCCCACAAGTAGTACAGTGTCACCATGGTGACACTGTACTGCTAGGGTGACAGTATGTTAAAAAAAACAAATATAAAAATATAAAATTAAAATGTAAAAAAAAAACATTTTTTAAAATTATAATTTTTGGTTATAAACTAATTTGGGTTATTTTTTTTTACTGAAAATATAACAATACATTTTGGTCAAGATTTATGAAGAAATATTATTTAATTGCAAAAAAGAAAAACACTTTTTTTCAAAATTTTTAGACTTTCATTTATATAGCAAAAAAAAACAATAAAAATCCTACTTGTGAATAAATACCACCAAAATAAAGCTTTATCTGTCTCAAAAAAATGCTAAAAATTCATATGGGTACAGTGTAGCATGACCACGCAATTGTCATTCAAAGTGCGATAGCACTGAAAGCTGAAAATTGGCCTGGACAGGAAGGGGGTAAAAGTGTCTGGACTTGAAGTGGTTAATTGAACAAGCTGAAGTTAGAAGCTGATTGGTTACCATGCACAGCCGCACCAGATTTTGCACTCTGCAGTTTTAGTAAATCAACTCTAAAGTGTGCATGGACACATAGGCTAACATACAGTACAAGTGTTAACCTATGTAAAAGTGTTTTTTTTCCGCCCATGCTGCCTAAAAGTTATTTTGTATAAAGCCCCTTTCACACGAACATCCCGATCTGGTACGCCTGTCTGTATATGGAGAGGCGGGTATGAAACAACATGTCTGTTTACACCCGCCTACATCCAATCTGATCTGCTAAAAACAGACAGATGGGGATCAGTTCCCCTTCCGTCCAGTGGATCAGATCAGATGGCAGTCAGGTATAAACGGACAGGAGGTCAGTTTCCATGCGACCACCCATAGAGGAGAGTGGGCTGTGTCAGTGTCCACTCTGCATAAGCGGACATGGACCTTTCATCCACCTGTTCAGCGGGGATCAGCAGACAGATCTCCTGTAGATCGCAGGAGGTGTCCGTCCAGTGTGAAAGGCCTCTAAGTCTACTGCTATGGATGTTGCATCCAACAACCTTTTCCAATCTGAAGCAAAATTTCACCTTTACATGGTACTCAGCTTTCATATCTGGGGATCAACTTAATCCCTAAGTACACTGTATTATATCAAGCAAAGGACCCTCTTTTCATTGATGCCAATATTCCCTCCCAGTCTAAGTCTTGGAGAGCAGCTCTCAGCCTTGGAAAATTAGCTCTCTTAAAATTGAGCGTTTTTAGTCTTCCCATATGTGCTTGCTGTTTACAGCCAACAATAAATTAAATCATGTTATGGTCACTTTTATATGGACATTCGTAATAAGCTCTGCTTGGTTTGAGATTACCAAGTCCAGCAGAGCATTATTCCTAGTTGGGGCCTCTATGAACTGTACCATAAAATTGTCCTGTGGTAGGTTTAAAAATTTTTGCCCTTTAACTGTTCCTGCAATACCATTACTCCAGTCAATTTCTGGGGAGTTAAAGTCTCCTATTATTATTACTTTCCCAGCCCTTTCGATCTGTGCAAGGAGCTGAGTCTCCACCTCCTCATTAACAGTGGGAGGCCTATAACAAACTCCAATGATTACCTTTATAGTACGCACTCCCATGTGCAGTTCCACCCATAATGCTTCAGCTTCATCACACTCTTCATCATCTAGGCCCTCTTTCACACTCGCTCTGAGATCACTTCTCACATAGAGACAGACATCACTACCTTTCCTATTTACCCTGTCTCTCCGAAAGAGAACATAGCCAGGAATATTAATGGCCCAGTCACGTGAAGAATGAAGCCAAGATTCAGCAATACCAATTAAATCATAGTTCTCTTCATGCACCAAAGCTTCCAACTCACCTATTTTGCTTGGCAGACTCCTGGCATTGGTGAACACTTTAATCCATTGACACCTTGTGTACACGTATTTTTTATTTTCATACAAATGGTACCAATTCCACTGGTTGTTTATAACATGGTAACCTTCTTATCATCTGCCATAGCCCTCCCCCCATCTTTCCCCATTTCACCCACCAATAAGTACTAACCCCTGTCTGATCTGTCTACCCCGTTAAAATCTAATTCTACTCCCCCCTCGATCCTAGGTTAAGTACTCCTCCAGCCTTCCCATAAACCTCTCCCCCAGCACAGCAGATCCCCTTCCATTTAGGTGCAAACCATCTCTAGCATATAGGTTGCACTCCAATGAAAAGTCAGCCCAGTTCTCTAGAAACCCAAATCCTTCCCTCTTACACCAGATCTTTAGCCATGCATTGAGTTCTCTAATCTCCTCCTGTCTTTCCTGAGTTGCGCATGGCACAGGTAATATTTCAGAGAGAATATCACCTTGGAGGTCCTTCCCTTCAACTTGCAGCCTAGTTCTTTCAAATTTATTTTTAAGGAGCCTCCATCTTCCATGTATTCTGTCATTGGTTCCAACATGGACCAAGAAAGCTGAGCCATATCCAGCCCCTCCCAGTAATTTATCAACCCGGTCCACCACATGCCGAACCCTGGCACCAGGGAGACAGCAAATCATTCGGTTGAGGCGATTCTGGCGACAAATTATTCTATCAGTCCTTCTATTATAGAATCCCTTATTACCACCAACTGTCTAGGCCTTCCTGCACTACCCTCACCACCCCTCCTAGATGGTCTACCCTCCCGGGTGTTAAGAATAGCAATGACATCTAGGGCTGCCACCCCTGAGCTTGCCCCCCCCCCCCACATCTTCACCAAACTTGACAAATCTGTTTGGGTGTTCAAACCCAGGGCAAGCCTTCCTTTTCTGTGATCCCCCACCACTCCCTCTCATTACAGTAACCCATCTTCCTACCTGATAATCCTGATTAGCTCCTCCACATCAATTCCATTAGCTACCTACTCAGACAGCAGAAGACCCCTTTCAAGGTTGTCAGTTCTGTCCAGTGTCGCAACTTGCTCCTCCAGATCTCTAGAAGGGCAACCTGCTTACATTTGTCACAGTGGTATCCATCCTGGACCTGTTGCTCCATTGTTGCATACATGCGGCACACTGTTCCACTGCACATAACCTTCCACCCTGCTAGCATACATTATCCCAGTTACAATTTTAATAGGAAATATCAGATGTCACTTACAGGTTAGTAGACTCCTGTTATAATCTCTTGCTTTCCACTCCGGTTTTTTTAACTCCACTTATCAAATGTCTGCTTGATCAAAGGTCCAGCAAGCAAATCACAGGCAAGCTCAGCATGAGCTCTACAGCAAGTTATATAATACCTGTATCACCTGTGACCAATTAACCCTTCCTCATAATTAGCAGACTGAAGAAAGACAAGGAAAAGAAGAAGAAAAAAAAATGCTATTTAAAAGGTGACAGAGAAAGTGATTTAAAAAAGTAAAAGCTTTTAGCAAGACCCAAAGAAGAAAATAAAACAACTACAAGCACCAGCAATCATCAGCAGTCAAAAGTAAAACATTTTCACTCTCCACTCAAATTCCCACTCTTTTTAGGTTCCAGCCAGCAATAAATGCCAGCCAATACAATAGAGTCATATGCAATATGAAGGAGGTAGATAAGGGGACAGGTGGTAGAGCAGATGCTCAGGAGGCAGAGCAGAGGATCAGGATGTAGATCAGAGCAGTGTTGCCAACCGTCAGTATTTTACTGTCAGCCAGTGAAAAAATGGGCACTTTTTTTCCTGCCAGTAAATGCCAGTGACAGTTTGCCTGTTAAAAATATGGCTGTGACGCTTGGCTAGGAACAGCATTCGCAGTCCTGGTCTGGAACTGGTTGAGATCATCCGAGTGCCTTCTACAGTGTGTTTGGGCAGCGACGGCGGGGTGAGTGGGTCTGGTGGAGGTGGTGCCTGAGTGTGTTGTGTGATGTCATGGTACAAGGGAGCTGAGTTGAGCAGCCGGAGCCTCGTGGGCGGGTCTGTGGAACAGGAGCTAGGCAAGCCGGGAACAGGACTGTCAGTGCTGTTTGGACTGGAGTGGACTTAAGGGACCACCTGGCATGGAGAGACTGTCACTGTGACTCAGGAGGGTACGTGGCATGTCAGTGAGGTGTCATCATCATCTGTGCTCCTGCACACCGCTGTCAGTCCCACTGTGAGAGTCCATTTCATGTGTACCTGCCCATTCTAGTTTCTTGCCCTGCTGAGTCCTGTCCTTGAGCTACTTTCTTACTATATTGAAAATAAAATGAGAAATATGTTTTTTGCCTTGATATCTATATTAACCACTTTAATACCGGGCACTTATACCCTCTTCATGCCCAGGCCAATTTTCAGCTTTCAGCATTGTTGCACTTTGAATGACAATTGCGCGGTCATGAAACACTGTATCCATATGAAATTTTTATCATTTTTTCACACAAATAGAGCTTTCTTTTGGTGGTATTTAATCACCACTGAATTTTTTATTTTTTGCTAAATAAAGCAAAAACACCTGAAACTTTTGAAAAAATGCACTTTTTTTGTTTCTGTTATAAAATTTTGCAAATAAATAACATTTCTTCATAAATTTTAGGTCAAAATATATTCTGCTACATTTCTTTGGTGAAAATAATAATAATTGAATTTGTATTTTTTAATTCAAATGTTTCTATTATTTTTAATTACATTTTTTCTTTTTTTTTACTATTTTATTTTTCAGCACACTGTGACCAAAGCAATACAATGTTACCATAGTAATATTGAACTACTCTGGGCAAGTGATGAGGATTTTTTTTTTTAACACATGATTGCTAATACCAATGTATTACGTTGATATTTGCAATCATTGTTACGGAATGAAACGGATTCATTCAGTCTTTTGTTGTGATTAGCTGTGATTGGGCAAAGCTGATCACATGATACAG